CTATTCAGCACTGTGCTACTTTAAACTGGCAATTGCGCAATCGTACAACACTGTACGCAAATTATATTTATATGATTTTTTTTCACACAAATATAAAATTTTCTTTTGGTGCTATTTAATCAGCACGGTTTTTTTTTCTTTTTAAATGAAAAAAAGATCAAAAATGTTGAAAAAGAAAAAATATTTTCTACGTTCTATATATAGTTTTTAAGATATAAAATATTTATTTTATTTTTTCAAATCCACAAGGGAGCAATGCAGGGCTAGACACCAAACCCATTCTCCTAATGAGTTTACCAGGGAACATACCGCTAGATAAAATGAACAGAGAGGGGAACGGAAAGTCTACTGTCCAGGAAAAATAACCAAATGAAAATTACAGATCTGGAAAAACAGAGCAGATGAAGAGTTATACAAAGTATGGGTCACAGGGAAATACAGGGGAAGAAAAACACCACTGAGTACACAGAAGAGAAGAGATCGGAGAAAAGAAACCACATCAGCTTTTCAGGCAAAGTTCAAAGTGAGTCATTGGAATAAAACTCCTAGGAAAGGTTCCCGCCACATCATAAGCTTTAACAATGAAATCCAACGTCCTTCATGTATAATAATCCACCCACGTTTTCTGGTCAGAAATAGTCCTTAAAAAGGAGGAGAAAAAAAAACCCGACTTGAAAAGTCTCCATGCTTCAAGCTGATCTAAACCCAAGAACACGTTGCATCGTACCAGTCCTTAGATGTGGTTGCTACATTGGTTTTCTTCTTCCAGACTTTCCCTTGATTTTCAACTAGAAACCCTGCCAGTAACCCTGTAACTATACTGATCTATGAAGAAGGAGCAGTGTTACCCTAGAGCAGGACTACAGAACACCTCCCTCCTACTCTCAAATGGAGTTCTTCTGTAATTCACAAAGACAGCTGTAAACAATTCTAACTGATAACACAGAAAGTCATCAGCTCACATGATTCCAGACAGTATCAAGGGTTTTTTTTTTGTCTATCAAACAAATATAGCAAACATTTCAATGGTATATTTAACAGAAGAAAAAGGAGAGAAAAATATTTCTAGGGTTTACCTGCACTTTAAAATAATAGATACTGTCAAATATTGAAAAGAGAAGTGTGGGATTTAAAAATAACAATTATACTCACCTAGGTAGATGCAGCATCAGTCCCCCCTGCGCCTCTAAGATGGCAAACTGAGCGATCAAAGACCACTGATTGTTCAGTTCTCAGTCTTCAGTAAGCAGAGAGCTGGTGATTGTCAGTCACCGACTCTCCCCTCTTCCAACACTCACTAGAGCGCCAACCTGTGGAGGGGGCGGGAGCGTCCAGCTTAGCCTCTCAATGGGGCATGGGGATGACCCAGTTGCTGGTCCAGGCTCTTGGGTGGTGTCACGGATCCACGGTCGCCGCCACCAACATGCGACAAACGCACGACCGCGACTAACAGTAATACGTCATGCCCACGGCATCAGACCCCAGACCTTCCCACCAAACTCTTGACCGAAGGACCGGCCGATCTAAAACCACGGTGTGACGCGCGTAACAAGGCCCCACCCAGCTGCACCCTGCACAGCTAATGGGCTACAATCGGTGCCTGCAGCCTGAATGCGCTTGTTACTGGGTCGGGTTAATTACGCAACTAACCCTTCTACTGCCACCACCGTCTTGAAATGTACAGAGAAGACGGACTCTGTCAGAAATACGCTATATTGATTGAAAAGTCACCTGTCCAATATGGTCAACTACAGGCCAATTGGGCAGGGAGTAAACAAACACAGTAGCGTCTCTTCAAAAGGCAGGAATTCATGAATTGCAGGTAAGCGCTTAAAAACAGTTTAAACACTTTTAGAAAGAAAGATTTATTACTAAAAGAGTCAAACAGGTGCAATAAAATATTTACAAAGATGTCACAAAAAAAAAAAAAATATATATATATATATATATATATATATATATATATATATATATATATATATATATATATATATATATGTATTTAAAGACACAGCAAAGAGATAATTAGGAAGGAAATTTCAGGGTTAAGTTACTTGCCCTTAGCCTGGGTTTGCAGATCCAAGTTGCAGAGCAGGACGATTCTTTATCTCCTCCTTCGATGTTAGCTGTGAGATCTGTGTAAAACTCTAACTTGTCTCTTCTTAAAAGTCCCTCTCAAAGGGAGGGGGGCTCTGACTACACGTTTTGGGAGTGGTCAGTGGGAAACTCTGAATTAAACTACAGCTTCATACCCCATGATATGAAACATACAGTTGACCTGAGGAATGTTGAATTCTCTTTCAAGTCCGGGAGAGAAGCTATCTTATCTTGATTATGATGGGGGAAAAAGTTACACTTTGGCAAACTGCTGCACCAACTAGGGATGCTTAACCTGGGCTGACCCACCCCATCTGTCAGGAGATAACGTTTGCCTCTCAGGACTGGAGGGGGGTAGGGAATGAGGGCTGAGGAATTTCCACTAAAAGCAAAGGAAAAGGGGAGCTCTGCTTCCAACTCTGATGAGCAAGTTTGCTACAGGTGGATCCCAACATTAAAGTGTTACTGAACCTACAACAGTAAAATCAGTCTGCATATGCAGTAAAGCATTCTGGATATACTCACTGTGGAACGTAAGGGGTTAATTCTCTGCATAGTGTAAGGGCCGGTTCACACTATAGAAACGCAGTCCAGATGCGTTTTTGCATGTGTGTTTTTGGTGCATTTTTTATGCATTCCAGTTAATTTTTTCTCCTCCCTTTTTCTTCATTTTAATCAGGGACATGTGCATTCCAGTGCATTTTATTGCGTTCCAGTACAGTTCTGTGTAAAAACAAAATGCAGCTTGTTCTACTTTTTTTTATCTGCAATTGAAAACACACTGGAACTGCAAGCACTGATGTGAACTATGACATTGACAACATATAACCTACTTTCTGTGTGTTTTGGATGCAGAAAAAAAAGCAACTGAAAACGCATGTAGTGTGAACTGGCCCTAAAAGGCTGTTTGATCCTGACTTCTCTGATTCTCCTCTTCTTCCAGAGTCCCCCTCTTGTCTGTCTGATAAGACATATCGTGTGGAGACACTCTAGCAACACACACCAAACTTAGCATGTGAAGAGGTTTTTTTTTTTTCTTGGGAAAGTGCAGCACAGGGCCAATCAGCACTGTCCAGACAGAGGTCAGGGGGGAGGTCTGCATCCTCCTAGAGCAGAAAGAAAACTCCTCCTACAAGCTTTAACCAGTGCTCTGCTGAACACTGAGAAGTCACAAGACTGCTCTAACTGCTGATGAGAAAAGGTATTCAGCAGTTTATACATATATATTATAAACTTCAAACTGTAATAATGAAAAAAGGAAAAAGTGAAAAGCCATTGCGAAGTGATTAAATGAGTCCAAGTGTCAAAGGACATTATAAAACGTCCTTAAAAACAATCATGTGTCTTCAATAACTAAGATGATCCAGTGTATCCAAATGAACCACGTCACCCCACTCAGTGATCAACCAGCACTTTTACCGCCTCCCTACCCAGGCCAATTTTCAGGTTTCAGCGCTCTCACACTTTGAACGACAATTGACCGCTCATGAAACACTGTAACCAAACAACATTTTTATAATTTTGTTCACACAACTAGAGCTTTCTTTTGGTGGTATTTAACTTGCTGCCGACCGCAGATAGCCGAATGACGGCTGCACTGCGGCCGGCCAGTTCTGAGTGGACGTCATATGATGTCCCCCCAGAACGCGCTCTCTCCTGCGCGCCCCAGGGGGCGCGCACGCGATCTCCGTGATCGCTGTGTCGGACACAGCTGATCACGTGATGTGGTAAAAGGCCAATCACAGCAGCCTTTTACCACCTGATCAGCGGTGTCCAATGACACGCTGATCAGAGGGAAATGCAAGTGCCGGTTCTCGGCTGCACTTTCCTCACGCTGTCAGATCGTGAGGAAAGTACTGCCGAGAACCGGCAGTTGTCAGAGCGGGATCGGCACTGATGATCGGTGCCCAGCAGTGCCACCCGCAAGTTCCGCCCACCTGTGCCCTGCAGTGCGCCCACTAGCTCCGCCCACCTGTGCCCACACATCACCCACCTGTGCCCAGCAGTGCACCCACCTGTGACACTCTGCAATTTCACACACCTGTGCCCAGAAGTGCCACCTACCTGTGCCCAGCAGTGCCACCCACCTGTGCCCACCCACCTGTGCCCAGCAGTGCCACCCACCTGTGCCCACCCACCAGTGCTGCCCACCAGTGCCACCCACCAGTGCAGCCCAGCAGTGCTGCCAGTCAGTGCCACCAGTCAGTGCCCAGCGGTTGTGCCAGTCAGTGCCGCCAGTCAGTGCCCAGCAGTGATGCCAGTCAGTGCCGTCTATCAGTACCCATCATCAGTGTCACCTATCAATGCTGCATATTAGTGCCGCCTATCCGTGCCACCTCATTAGTGCTATCAGTGCCGCTTATCCGTGCCACCTCATTAGTACTGCCTATCAGTGCCCTTTAGTGCTGCCTATCAGTGCCCATCAGTGCCGCCTATCAGTGCCCATCAGTGCCGCCTATCAGTGCCCATCAGTGCTGCCTCATCAACGCACATCAGCGAAGGAGAAAAATTACCTGTTTGAAAAATTTTATAATAGAAACAAAGAAACTTTTTTTTTTTTTTTTTAATTTTTGGGCAATTTTTTATTTATAGCGCAAAAAGTAAAGCGCCCAGTGGCGATTAAATACCACCAAAAGAAATCTCTATTTATGAGAAAAAAATTATCAAAATTTCATATGGGTACAATGTTGCATGTCCGCGCAATTGTCAAAGTGCGGCAGCGCTGAAAGCTGAAAATTGGCCTGGTAGGCAAGTGGTTAATCACCACAGGGGTTTTTATTTTTTGCTAAATTAACAGAAAAAGACCGAAAATAAACAAACAAACATGTTCTTCTTTGTTTCTGTTATAAATGTTTGCAAATAAGTAATTGTTCTTCATAAAATTTAGGCCAATATGTATTCTGCTACATTTCTTCAGTGAAAATAACCCAAATCCGTATTTATTATTTAGTCTGTAGGGAAGTTATAGAGTTCACAAACTATGGGATATATCTGAAAATTGATCAATCCTGATGTACTGACAGCCAATCTAATTTCCTGAGGCCAGAAAATGTCAGAACAGTACAGATATCCCCCAAATGACCCCTTTTTGCAAAGTAGACAGTCCGACGTATTTCATAAGAGGCATGGCGAGTAACAAGTAATTTTAACTTTGTAAGTTACACATAAACCTAAAAGATGTGTTCCTGTGAAATATTAAATAAAATTCCTGTGATGAGGGAGGCTATAAAATCAATGATTGTAGATTTTCCTCATCACTGGCAGCATTCACACAATACAAGGGAAATGTTCCATGCTTACCGACCTCCCACACAGTGTATTCAATTTGTAGTTATTCTGAAGAAAAGAATTCAGGCCCAACATGAAGCTTCACATTGTTATTAGAATGTTGCTGGACTAGTGGTACCTGTTAATACGTTACTTATATGCTGTCAAGAACTGCCCTGGGCTTATAGGAGGGTTTAGTCAGTCATATTCTTCCTTCAATTACAGCAGACTTTCTTGAAAAGGGAAACTAATTGTTTTGTTTTTTTCTGGTTGTGTTTTGTAAAGTTTAAATATGTTTTCAAAACCGTTTAACCACTTGACCTCTACGTTTCCACAGCTTCTACAGCTTCATAATCAAACCATTTTTGCTATTCAGTACTGTGCTACTTTAACTGGCAATTGCTCGGTCCAGCAATGTTGTATCCAAATTTACTTAATATATTTTTTTTCACACAAATAGAGTTTTCTTTTGGTAGTATTTGATCACCACTGGGTTTTTTATTTATTATATAAGCAAAAAAACAAAAAACAAAATGACGAAACATTTAAAAAAAATATTTTCTACTTTCTGATATAGAACATATCCAGTAAAGTCAAATTCCTTTATACATTTCGGCCAAAATGTGTTTGGTTACATGTCTTTGGTGAAAAAGAAAATCCCAATAAGTATATATTAATTGTTTTTTTGTGAAAGTATACAAAACTATGGTATAGATACCGGAATTTACACGGCCAACACATTTTTGGAGGCCCTAAAATGCCAGGACAGCAGAAACACCCCCCAAAACAATCTTTTTATGGAAAGCAGACATCTCAAGGTATTTGCTGAAGCATGTTGAGTCATTGGAAGAGATTATATATATATATATATATATATATATATATATATATATATATATATATATATATGCATGCATGTCACTAACACACACACATATTTGGACCCAGGCACAATGTTCATACTTTTCGCTCTGTATGCCACCAGAATACATTAAACCCCATTTTCAGGGGTTCAAAATGTAATTGGACAAATGAAAATCGTAAATAAAATGTTCATTTTTAAGATTTTGTTGAGAATCCTTTACTGGCAATGGCTGCCTGAAGTCTGGAATCCATGGACATTATCAAAGACTGGGCTTCCTCCTTTCTGATGCTTTGCCAGGCTCTAACAGCAGCTGTCTTCCTTTGTTCTTTGTTTGTGGGTCTTTCTGCCTTTAGTTTTGCCTTCAGCAAGTGAAATGCATGCTCAATTGGGTTGAGATCAGGTGATTGACTCGGCCAGTGCAGAATATTTCACTTCTTTTCCTTCACAAGCTCCTAGGTTGCTTTTGCAGTGTGTTTGGGATCATTTTCCATCAGTACTGTGAAGCGCATCCAATCAACTTTGCTGCATTTGGCGGAATCTGGACTGACAGTATATCTCTAAACATTGCAGAATTCATCCGGCTGCTTCTGTCTTCTGTCACATCATCAATAAACACCAATGACCCAGTGCCACTGAAAGCCATGCATGCCCATGCGATCACACTGCCTCCACCATGTTTTACAGATGACATTGTGTGCTTTGGATCATGAGCTGTTCCAAGCCTTATCTACACTTTTTTTTCTTCCAGTTATTCTGGTACAGATTAATCTTGGTTTCATCCGTCCAAAGAATGTTTTTCCAGAACTGGTCTAGCTTTTTTTTTTTTTTTTGATGTTTTTTGGCAAAGTCTAATCTGGCTTTTCTATTCAATGAATGGTTTGCACCTTGTGGTGAACCCCCTGTATTTGCTCTCATGAAGTCTTCTCTTGATTGTAGACTATGACAATGATACGCCCACCTCCTGGAGAGTGTCCTTCACTTGTCTGGATGTTGTGAATGGGTTTTTCTTTACCATAAAGGGGATCCTGCGATCATCCACCACTGTTGTCTTCCGTGGGCGTCCATGCCTTTTTATGTTGCTGAGCTCACCAGTGCGTTCTTTCCTCAGAATGTACCAAACTGTTGATTTGGCTACTCCTAATGTTGCTGTTATCTCTCTGATGGATTTGTTTCATTTTTGAAGCCTTACAATTGCCTGTTTCACTTGCATGCACACTTAAAGAGGGGAATGACAACTCTTAAAGGTTGTAATTCCTAAACCCTTCCTCCAATTTGGATGTACATACCCTCAAATTAAACCTGAGAGTGTGCACATTCAGCCCATATCCATTATATAACTATAGCTTGAATATGTTTTGGTAAATACCTGAAAAGAAATCTAAAAATTGTGCCGCTGTACAAATATATATATAGAGACTGAACTATGGAGATAGATAGAGATACATACACATACATATATATATACACACACACATTTATTTCAGGTACTTATATAGTGCCGTCAATTTACTCAGCGCTTTACACATATATATTGTACATTCATGTTAGTCCCTAACCCTCAAGGGGTTACAATCTAAGGTCCGTAACTCACATTCACACATACTAGGGACAATTTAGACAGGATCCAATTAACCTACCAGCATGTCTTTGGAGTGTGGGAGGAAACTGGAGTACCCGGAGGAAACCTACGCAGGCACAGGGAGAACATGCAAACTCCAGGGAGGTGGTGCCGTGGCTGGGATTTGAATCAACGACCCTAGTGCTGCCAGGCGGAAGCGCTAACCATTTAGCCACTGTGTTGTCCCACATGCATACACACACACACACACACACACACACACACACACACACACACACACAATGTTGCCAAAGGTATACCTTTACAAGCACATGAACTTTAATGGCATCACAGTCTTAGTCCGTAGGGTTCAATATTGAGTTGGCCCACCCTTTGCAGCTATAACAGCTTCAACTCTTCTGGGAAGGCTGTCCACAAGGTTTAGGAGTGTGTCTATGGGAATGTTTGACCATTCTTCCAGAAGCGCATTTGTGAGGTCAGGCACGGATATCGGACAAGAAGGCCTGGCTTGCAGTCTCCGCTCTAATTCATCTCAAAGGTGTTCTATTGGGTTGAGGTCAGGATCTGTGCAGGCCAGTCTCCACCCCAAACTCGCTCATCCACATCTTTATGGACCTTGCTTTGTGCACTGGTGCTCAGTCATGTTGGAACAGGAAAGGGCCATCTCCAAACTGTTCCCACAAAGTTGGGAGCATGAATTTTTCCAAAATGTCTTGGTACGCTGACGCCTTATGGAGTTCCCTTAACTGGAACTAAGGGGCCAAGCCAAACCCCTAAAAAACAACCCCACACCATAATCTCCCCTTCACCAAACTTTACAATTAGCACAATGCAGTTAGGCAAGTACCGTTCTCCTGGCAACCACCAAACCAAAACACATCCATCAGATTGCCAAGAAGAAAAGCATGATTCGTCACTCCAGAGAACAAGTGTCCACTGCTCTAGAGTCCAGCATGCTTTACACCACTGCATCCGACGCTTTGCATTGCACTTGGTGATGAAAGGCTTGGATGCAGCTGCTTGGATATGGAAATATCTACTCACTTTTGTTGTGCTAATCTGAAGGCCACACGAAGTTTGGAGGTCTTTAGCTATTGACTCTGCAGACAGTTGGTGACTTCTGCGCACTGTGCACTTCAGCATGTGCTGACTCTGCCCTGTCAGGTTATCGTGCCCTCCAATTTGTGGCCGAGTTGCTGTTCCCAGTTGCTCCCACTTTGTTATAACACCACTAACAGTTGACTGTGGAATATTTAGTAGCAAGTTAATTTCATGGATGGACTTATTGCACAGGTGGCAACCTATCACGGTACCACACTTGAATTCACTGAGCTCCTGAGAGCAACCCATTCTTTCACAAATGTTTGTAGAAGCAGTCTGCATGCCTAGGTGCTTGATTTTATATACCAGTGGCCATGGAGGTGATTGGAACACCTGAATCAAATGGTTTGGAGGGGTGTCCCAATACTTTCGGAAATATTGTGTGTGTATATATATATATTATATATATTTATTTTTTTTAAATAAAACCCACACTAAATTACAATACACACAAACAGAATCCGTTTTAATCAGTTTGCTCAGGGACTTGTCATAAGGATTTGGGTGACTCTGATGAGGGCCAGTTTGTAATGGCTAAAGGGGTGAAAAGGCGCTGTTATTGTCATTTTTTTTTCCATCCATTCACATTTTTTTTGGATAGGTTATGTGCACACTTGGATGAGGGGCATATCTGTATTTAGTATATTTTATTTATGTTTCTACTGTTCATTCACTAAGTAGCGCAGAACCCTTTCACTCCTTTATTTGTTTTCACTATTTTTGGAATATAGTTAGGTGTTTGCGGCCACTTTGTTTTTGGGAGTCATTGCAGGTAGGGAGGTAGCGCAGGAGGACCATCTCTACACTATTCTTGTAATGGCTAGACTACTGGGTAAGAGCATCTTCAAAATTGTGACTTTTATTAGAGGTTTCCAGTGTGCAGTGGTCAGGACCTACCAAAAGTGGTCTAAGGAAGGAAAACTGGTGAACAGGCGACAGGGTCATAGGCATCCAAGGCTCACTGATGCACATGGAAAGTGAAGACTGGCCTGTGTAATCCAATCCAAAAGAAGAGCTACTGTAGTGCAAATTGATGAAGTTGACGCTGGTTCCAATAGAAAGGTGCTAGAGCATACAGTGCCGCACAGCTGCAGACTGGTCAGGATGCTCATGCTGACCAGTGTCCACAGTCAAAAGTGCCTACAATGATTTTGACTTCGGTTTACTTAATTCAAAGACAAAGTGTTGACTTGGGCTCCAAATTCCAGTCCACGTGAGGATCTGTGGGATGCACTGGAAAAAAATTTCAATCCATGGAGGCTCCACCTCGCAACTTACAGGATTTAAAGGGTCTGTTACTGATGGCTTGGCACCAGATACCAAAGTTTACCTTCAGAGGTCTAGTGGAATTCAGTCATCTTATGGTGGGTGGTCATACATAATGATAAACTATAAATAATATATATATTATTTATTACAGGTACTTATACACCGCTGTCAATTTACGCAGTGCTTTACATATATATTGTAAATTCACACCAGTCTCCAACCCTCAAGAGGTGTACAATCTAAGGTCCCTAACTCACATTCATATACAAAGGGCCAATTTAGACAGGATCCAATTAACCTACAAGCATGTCTTTAGAGTGTTGGAGGAAACCCACGCAGGCACAGGGAGAACTTGCGAATTCTAGGCAGGAGGTGCCGTGGCTGGGATTCGAACCAACGACCCTAGTACTGCCAGGCGGAAGGAAGTGCTAACCATTTAGCCACTGTGCTGCCCAATATATATATATATACACACATATATATACACACACACACACACACACACACACACACACACACACACACACACACACACACACACACACACACACACACACATATATATATATATAATATATATATATATATATATATATATATATATATATATATATACACACACACACACACGTTATATTTTATCATTAAGTCAATACGTATGACCACCCCCACCATAAACCTGACTGAAATTATAATATATATATACATATACACACATATACATATATACACACACATACACACACATTATATACAGTCATGCCGAAATTGTTGGCATTGAAATATTACAAATCATGTATTTCTCACGAAACGTATTGCATTAAACACATGTTTTGCTATACACATGTTTTTGCTATTTGTGTGTATTGGGACAAAACAAAAAAAAGGGAGGAAAGAAAGCAAATACATAATGTCACACAAACCTCCAAAAATGGGCTGGACAAAAGTATTGGCACCCTTTCACAACTGCGGATAAAAAAATGTTACAAGCATGTGATGCTCCTGTAAACTCACCTGGGGCAAGTAACATAA